CAAAGCTCTGTCGGTTTCTCTCACAATATGTTCCCTCTAAATTGTCATTATCTGGTATTTCTCTATTTAGATCACAAGAGCACTATTTTTCAATACAGAAGTGGCTTTAAATACCTGATCACCACGTTGCATGATTAGACATCAAATAAGGGATATTGTAACATAGTACACAGTGTTACAAAAAAATATGAAAACGAATTTAATAATATGGTTTTGACCCACTCCCATCTGTCCCTCTTGATTGCTTAAGCATGCAGGCTATCGCATTATCATTTTATCAAGGAAATTAAAATGATGGATTAAATGAATTAGGTGAGGTTCCACTTGGCTGGCAGTGGGTAACTAAATTTAGGGGCTATTTTTAGATCTCTGTGTCCTGAGAGTGTGTGGAGAGCTTGTAGAGACTTACGAGGCTTATTAAGTCAGGCATCAGTGCAGCAAGGTAGTCCACATCTGGTGCACAGCTCAAAAGCTAAAACCTGGCCAGCAGGATGGAGATTTTACCACAGCAGTCTCTTTCCCAGGAAAGAGACTGCTGTGAGCAGATTTAGATGAGCCTCACAGAGGCTCATCTAAATCACATTCTGGGAAACTTAAATGGTCACGGTCTTAATACGCAGAGAATATACTCCCTTTTCAAATACCACAACTTTCTGTTAGGTGTGATCATTACGTCTATTCTTAGAAGCATCAAGTCTCCCTGGAAGTGTGCAGATTGTGTGTGGTTTAGGGGAGGCCCCCCCCCCCCCCCTCTTTCTACTGCCTCCCCTCTATCCATGGGCCTTCTGTCCCCTGCACCAATTTTAGGTGTGTCATCTGTCAGGCTGAAGTAGTCCAGCTAAAGCCACACTTAACAAAAAGTATGACCTCTATATCAGCTAAGCATACAAATGAAGCGCTGTGTCTTTTGGCCACATTTCACCCTTTGGCCAAGGGATGAGAAGAGAAGGATGGGCTGGGTGTGACTGGGCTGCACTCTACATTACTGGAACAAAACAAAAAGTCAGATGTTATCCAACGCCTTGAGGAGAACCAGACCCAGCTAAAGTCGACCATTACTTAACTCATTGAAAACAGACCACCACTCAAGACTGGACAAACCCACAAGAGGCTCATTGATGTTAGCTTAAAATGAGCTAGGTTTGAAATGTAGCTGTATACAATACAATGAGAATAATATTGATTCAACGCTGAACCAAACCGTCAACTTCTGTTATCGGCAGCTCATGCTGGAGGTGAAATTTTGCGGTCTGGTGTTTACAGCCCACTGCCTCTGTAGCTGAGAACACAGCAGGAGGGCTGACCGATGAGGGAGCACATGCAGGAATGATAAATAGGCTAAGTAACCGTATCGCTGCGGCTGACATCCAGACAGAATGATAATAAGCTTGATGTCTTGTGCATGGATCTATGGCATCGACACCATGTCACAGCCCATTTCAATAGACAGAATTAACCAAAGAACAGTTTAAAAACATTTCCCTTCATATACCTGCATATCTGACCTAAGTTGTACTGGTAAATCCATAGATTTCAAACTGTTAATGTGCAGCAGCAGGCCATTTACAGCTGCATGCATGTTCAGTTCACTTTGAGGCTGATAGGTGAAACACTGTGACTAGAAAGCTCACGTGGTGTTTCTTCAATCAACGAAGTAAACAACATACAATGTCAGCAAAAGGAGAGCAATATGAGCCACCAGAGCATGGAAAAGTACAAAATTCAGCAGATGTGACATTGCATGTGTAAGTCTGTATATATATATATATATATATATATATATATATATATATATATATATATATATATACAGTAAATGTCTGTGTGTCTGTGTGTGGGCTGGGCCCTAAGAGCAGATGTGCTAAGGATGGAGAAGTGAACCCATGTAAACAAGTACCTTCCTTTGAGAAGTGTATCTCCGGCTCACTTAGAGGTGGGGAGGACTGCATCAAACCTCCACTACGGTCTAACCTATAGACACATCCCACATTAACCATGTCTATAGAAGAGCATCATAATCAGCCTGAGAGATCACAGTTCCGCTGACATCAACACAGCGGTCAGTGACCTGTGATGATGAGGCACTGCAGAGAGCATCTCTCTCCCTTTCTCCCTCTCTGCCCTCTCATTCCTGGAGAGACTGCACCATTAGTACACATTGATACATGCACTCCCCGAAGGCAATCCAAAAGGCAAAACAGCCAGCTGCCGCAAAAACGAACGATAGACAAGACACAAGACACCCGCCAGCAAATGCACTTTGTACACACACTGAACGGCATGCAATCCCAAAGCACTCATTCTCCTGCGGCTGCCGGAAAGCCTGAGCAGACGCGCCTCCTGAGTCGCTACGTAGCAATATAATCCCACATATGTGATGGGAGATGGGCTGGGATACACACCTGTAAGTCGCACAATACACTGGCTGCCTCTTGTAAGGGACGTGTAAGGTTGCCTGCCCTGGTTGGCCCAACATGTTAGCTGCAGGTCTGTGATTTGCTGCGCTCTGCTCTGCTCCTCTCAGTGGTGCCTGTGTGTGTGTGTGTGTGTGTGTGTGTGTGTGTGTGTACTCCTCTCAGCTGATAGTGCTGCTGTTGCTGACGTCTTCTGCTGTGCACCGCGGCGTCGATTCATTCAAAACCTCCTTTTTCCCGCTTCTCCTGTGTTGGGCTGCTGAGGTGGAGCTAAAAATACGCGGAATCGCTGAACTGTCCCTTGTCTCCGAGAGCATTAGGCATGTGATGGGTATTATTAAAGCCAGCCAACCTCACCAACACATGTAAGAGGTCCCCAGAGCACAAAGTAAAACCACAGGTACAAAGCATTAGCCATAACCCGTCTCACATTCCCTCCCTGTAGTGCTGCTCTTTCTCTCCTCACCTCTCCTCGGCTCTCTTCTAATATATGCGTTCCTCAGCGGAGCGCTGCCGTCAGAGCGTTTGCCTGAACTGGACGCCCTCTCTGCTCCATTCCCTCTGCAGTCAGGCAGGAAATACACAGCATGCACATCGAGCAAGAAGAGAGGACTGAGGAGGGAGAAGGAGCAATTACAGTAGTCGAGTAAGGAAAAAAGAGAAAGAGATGAGGGGGTGATTGAGTGAAAGTGAGAGAAAGTGTGTTGCAACTTTCACGTTACGTTACAATAGATAACTGCATAAAGTATATACTACGTTCTGATCTTTGCAGTAAGAAATGTTGTTTTGGTACAATTGCGTACAAACGGGAAATTAAGGATGGTATGCCCCCATGAGTGTCATCATAGTATATCGACAGTGTCTAACAACAGCAACTTCTCAACTCATTTTACTACACAGGATTACTGTCAGTGGCTTGAACAGGAAATGCTGTAACAACAGCCAGATCAGATGAAGGAGGCAGAGTGTGAGTCGGGGAGATATAATTCATGGCATGAGAAACGGAAGTGAAGACTTGGCAATGACCTAACAGCCGAAGATACTGATGACTATGCCATGCTGCAAATGCTTTCTATCAGCTAATAGAGACGGGGGGGGGGGGGGGCAGGTGAAAAATGTGTTCTGCACCAGTAAGGACTCAGGAAGTCATCTCACAGATTAAAGCTAGCCTACCTACACACACTAACATGCAGGTAAATGCATCCAGCTGCTGTTGCCCTTATCCCCTGAGTTTCACCCTCTGTTGCTCTTTCTCATCCATCTCCAGTCTCCTTCACATCTCGTTAGCAAGTAAAGACCACTTCAACGCTGTGGAGATGATACCAGTGCGCTAGATTGACTGCATGGATCAACTGCAAATTGCACACCATTCAAATGTAAAACAGCCATAGACTGGAAAACCATGCATCCAAAGTGTCTGCAGTGAGAAAATATGCACATCGTTACTAATTGTCTAATGAAATAAGGGTTTGAAAGAAAACATAATGTAAGTTATTACATTAAAAAGACCTAAAGGGGAATGTTTTGCAATACTAAAATAATGATCTAAGCATGATTACGACGTGAATAATAACCAACACCTACCCTCAGTCAGTGGTGGAAAGTAACAAGCACATATACTCAAGTACTGTACACAATTACAACTTTAAGTTACTCGCACTTCACTTGAGCATTTCAATTCTTCTTCTTCAAACTTCTACACAACTCAGAGGGAATAGTTTACTTTTTTACTCACATCATACTTATTGGACAGATATTCTGTAGTGGCTAGTTACCTTGCAGATTTAGGTTGTACCAACAAAATGTGATTAGTTTACGAAGTACGATGCATTGTTATAGATTGAACTACCCATACAGTACAATAATAATGCAGTAATAATCCAATTACATGTATACAATACTCTAACAAGGAGAGGGAAGAGGTCACGATGAGTATGTCACGTATATGTTTGCTAATAACACTCACCTACTTTTACTTATATAATATTTTGAATGCAGGTCTTTGACTTTACTGCAGTAAAATATCTCTCTACTTCCTCCACCACTGCCCACAGTAAACCATATGACCACAATTAAAATATATAAATACATATACATGTACAGTAGATTAATCCCCCTTGTCTTACTCTATAGCACACTCCCAGTATGAGTCTGACAGCTACGGAGTCCACTCAATCTCACATGTCGCTACATTGCTACTCACCCGTTAGGGATCAGATGTGGAGAAGTAAGTCCAAATCAAAACTGTCCTGACCTTGAAGACAACCAATAAGGAGAGTGCCTGTCTGTTCTCTTAACGTATGCTAACTGAGCCTGTGTTAACTTGTGTGCACAATGCTAGGTGGGTGTGCTAGAACAGGCACAAAGAGTGCAGATAGGAAGATAACTGCGGTTTCATCCCTCTCTCTCTCTCTCTCTCTACCCTGGATCACTCAGTTACACTGCCAGAACTTACAGTGCATAGCTCTACTTAGCCTCTCCAGGGAAGCATAAAATGATAACACTCCATTGTTCAACCCCTCAGAAGAAGAAAAAGAAGAGGAAGAGGAACCGGACTGTGTTGTCCAGTCAATGTAAATAGCTGACCTTGATCTCTGACTGCAACCAGAGCCTTCAGTCTCACCCCGAGTCCTCTTTATCAGATCACATCCCCATCAGTCCGGGAGAGAGGACGGAGGGCAGACTATAGCTGAGTGGCCGGCTCAATAATCCACAGACAGACATATAGATAAGAGCAGAGGGCCAGACAAGGGTGGTTTGAGTCAATGTGTGTATGATGGACAGACAGGTCAGCATTCATACCTCACAATCACCTGCTTCCACGGTTTCCTGGCTGTTGTATAACGAAATGAAGCTATGATAATAACCCTGCAGTCTGTTGTGTTAGCAAATCAGAAAGCCATCAATCCAGCAATTTGTGTAAATCACATGTAGTGACATCCAAAATCACTCAGAAATGCAGGAAATATTGTCAAGTAAGTATTACATTACATTAAGCAGACACAAGCTAGCACAGTAAGAAAGGCCTGTTTTAACAGTAGATGAAATAAAACAGAGACAAATGTAAAATGCATCAAACTGCATCAAACTGTCAAACAGACAAAGACTCAATAGCAATATCTAGTGGCTCCCTACAGAAACACATGCACATGCTCCACCCGGTGTCGACGCTTCACTGACAGATAAGGGCAGGCATCATCACTGAGTCAAACAGGACTCACAGTGATTTGAAAACTTCTTAATTAATATAAAAAATCTATCAAAATCAGCTCTATCTTTGCTGTTCATCCAAGCCTCACCTCACTCAACAAATAACAGACAGTGGCTGGTTGGAGAGGAATACTAATCAAAGTTATCTTAAATCATCAAAATTCCAAAGAAGATTTAGAAAAGTAAGAAGGAGAATCAATCGGATCACGAATAAAGAATTAGTCTTGCATCTCTGCACTACAGCAAATTAAATTGGACAGCTTTGTGAGGACTCACACAGCTGTGTGGTCAATGTGTTCAATAAATGCTGCAGTGAGTGAAATTGCCCGAACCACCAGATCTGCTTTCTGTAGCAATAGCCAGACGGGCCTTTTCATCTATCTTTTTCCGCACTCAATATTCCAGTAATGGAAACAGCAATTTTTCAATCAAGTAATCCACAATGAGAAACATTTTTCAGAGCGCATGCACTCAATCTACTGCTGAACATAAGCTTATTGAAGTGTTAGGTTATTCAGACTTCAGATAATATAACTGAAGCAATATGTATGGAGTAAAACACTGCAGAGCACCTTTATCGCTACAAATCCTATGATCAGTAAATGAATGTCAGATTAAGCAGACAAATCTGTACAGATCTTCAAGGTGAAACATTGTTGTGGGTACATAGGAGAGTGCTCCCAAGAAATATAATGAACTTTCAATCAAGACATGGAACCAATTCCTCTTCAAGCAAGACCGTTAGGCACTCAGAAGATTCAGTTAGGTTCAAGGTCATCTTGTATTTGACAAGTATAATTGTTCTCCAATTTACTGTGAGTTAATAATCTAGTTTTTTGTGTGCATGTAAACACTGTTAAAATGCAGTGTTGATGCCAATATGTCATATCCTAATTGAACAGCTTAAAGACCATCTTTACACCAGCCACGACACAAAATCGGTTCAGTGCCAATGGCCCCTTCCTTGCTTCCTACCCCCATACTTCCGACGCCTTTGCTCGGACCCCACCCATCTTGGAAATCAGCCTTCCTTATGATCGCCACTACACATCTGCCAAGTTTCATGACTGCATCTTGCACAGCTGCGATGCCACCACAGTGACAAAATCTGTCCACAGACAGATAGAAATAAACACCTGGCCAGCCACTCAAAAACGCTTCTGTGGTAGTTCCTTCTACAGCAGGTGTTTCTCTCCAGGACACACACACACACACACAGACTCACAAGGTGAAGACAATACTGTCGCGTCTGGTAATTATTTAGACAATAATAAGCTGGAAAAATTGACATTATTGACATTATTATCACCGTATAAAGTTGTTGTACTGACCTTGTTAGCAAACAGTTGCCTATCTAGAAATTCCAGCAGATGTGGAAAAACATTAGCAGTCGTTTAGAGACGTGTTTCTGGCCATCCGGTGAATTTAACTCCAATATCCACTCTATTCATAGCTCTCCTGAGAGAAATACTCTTCTCTTTGACGGCTCAGTGTCCCACTATGTTCACCAACTAATCGCTCATTTTGTCTCTCTGCCTTTAGAGCTGAGGAGATTGCAGAGTTGATATGATATTCTGTGTTGGTTTGTTACTACGAGTGACACCTTTCTCAACAAAAAATGATTCATTTGATTCATTGCAAATATTAAAAAAAACATTGACAACTGCCGTTATACTATAAAACAATAATTCAGATATAAGAAGTTTCACAGATTCAGTTCTATGTATAGCATGTATGTGACAGTTTTGATTGTAGAACTAAGTGAAACACTTTGCATGCAGTATCTTAACTTGATTGGTGTAACTGGATACGAATGGATATGTTCACTGAATCTTAGCTGTTTCTATCTAAATGCAAATGTTCTGTGCTTGCTGAAAATCAATGGCATTACACTATTTTGTAAAAGATGTCCTACGGGTGGTGTGAGCTTCTCACATTTACATTATATATTTTATTGGACATCATGTTTACATCAAAGAATCCTTTTTACAAAATAAAAATCAGTAATTCATGAAAATTGTGCGGTCTGAGAAAGGCTTTCTCTTTTTGCACGACATTCATCTTCCACCTTTGTGGCTGCTCACTAATCACTTCTCTTCACACACATCTGGCGAGGTGAGAACAGCGTGGGACCTGCTTCTCTCTGCAGTGGCTCAAGTCACACTCAGGCTCTGACAGAATGCGGCAGAATGATCCGTCATCTGAATTCAATCACAGGGAGGGGATACAAACTCTTTCTTTACTCCAGACGGGCAGCTGAATTCACTCAGGTGCAGAGCTTCCTTCTTTAACAATATGAAAAGGGTGATACAAAAAAAAAAGAGGAAGAAAGTTGAGTTTTTCCAATATAAGTTTCCATTTACCTCTGCTGCACATTATCACAGCATGTTACAGATAGATTGTAGCAGCATTTGTGTGTGAAAAAAACATTTATTTTACACAAAGCAAAAGACAAAAGTTAAACCTGCATTACCTTGTCTCAATCTCCCTGTCCTCCTCCAAACTGGAGGGCTGCAGATCAGCAACCACCTCTGTTTCCTGATCAGCCAAGTCAGTCCCCCGGCCAAGGGGCAGGCAGCTGCAGCAGCAGGTCCCCATCCCGACTCGGGCATCTCCCCTGCCCTGTTTCTGCTCCGACTCCTGCTCCAGCTCTGACTGGTCAACCAGCCCAAGCCGTCTGGACAGTAAATGTCTCATTCTAGATAACGTATCATCCCACAGAGGACACCTCAGGCCCGCAGCTCTTAATGTATTCATTCATTGCAGGTTCGTCGGTTAAATATTGCAAGTGCAAACAAGGCCCGATGGAAAGGTTTCTTTGTGTTCCACAGCATAAACGGCCACTGTACCAGACTCTCAATCTAACCTTTGTTTTCATCGTCATTATTCAGTCCGCTGCTTCATCCCCTGACTCTATTTGTATGCACCGACAGATCTATATAGTATGTATTGTTTAGCGGTCACAAGTCTCGTAATAAGTCACCAAATGGCAGGATTTTGACAACACTGCTCTGTTTATAAAACGATGGGGCCTCGCTGCTCAGGTTGCCTCCCAAGCACGGAGAGAAGATAGATGCGCAAGCATAATAGCTGGACACGATTTAAACAGGATACCAGGATCTACTGATAATGACGAATGGTCAACATAAATCACCATACAAGAGTGAGAGGACTCGCTACCTCACCAACATCCCATTTGCAATTCCTTGGCCGTGAATGCAAATCTTTTCCTTTCAGCATCCCTGCATCTGCGCTGTTGTCATCTTCACAGGATAAATGCTTCGTGCTTCATTGCGAGGTTGTGTGTCTATGCGCGTTTGTTATCTGAAAATGAGCTGTTTATGTTCCACGTAGTCTGTAGGGTGTGTGAAAGAGAGAGAGACAAATATCATTCTCTACTCACTCGAACAATCACTTTCTTCTGTAAAAAAAATAATAATAATAATGACAATATTTTGGGAACAATTTTTTTTTTTACTGGTACAAAAATTGGAAAAAAGAGAAGTACATCAGGTTGCTATTCTATTGACCTTGAAATACATTTAGCCTGTTCATTCAGCATTACATTCCTTGCAAGGCACACGTGGTGCAATGGTGGGAACAAACTGGGAGTTAAATCAAAATGAGACAGCGTGACCTAAGAAACTGCTACTTCATCAAAAACTAGAACTTTGATGCTGCAATAAGAACAACCGCGGGCCATATATGTTTTCAGCTGATCAGTCATTTGATAATTTTCTAATTTTATCAGCAAGTACAGTTAAATGCATGATGATGATGATTGTTCATTCATTGAATAATGCAAATGAGAATGAACCCCTTTGACTACACTCTCCAACCAGCAGTCACTTGAAAGCATAAAGGGAGGAAGTCAAACTTGACAAAGCATTTCCTGCATCATGGTGCGATTGGAGTGCTTTTCAGTGCTCTTTTCAAAGATACGGCTCATATGATCTATCAGGATTTTGCCTGTCAAGAATAACACCAACATTTCAGAGTATCTATTTCCAGCTGAAGGTCACTGTCTCAACAAACAGCTTGAGGGAAGCAAGAGAAAGGGAGAGACTGAACTGAGTTCACATGCAAGCTCACACTCAAGAGTCTGCAGAAGTGATTCATATCTAAGACAGTGTTAGTCTATAATGTATATATCATGACTTACTTGAGGGCAAAATGATATACGTCTTAGTTTATTGGGCTGAAGTGCATAAGTTGTTTAAGTAAATACACAAAGAATAAAATCATAATATAGCTTGGTTGTTAACTTGAATGTTAACATGCGTGTGCTGATCCTGTGAAAACCTGTCAGACGAAAAAAAGCTCTTCGGAGAATACAAAGCAGTATAATGCATATTTGACAGCCAAAGAGCAGATTCGGTAAAGCCAGGATGTGCCCAGAAAGAAAAATACACAGCTGTAGCTCCTTTGACGACTTGGTGTCAACATCTTTCCTTGCTAAGCTACCCTGGAAACGGTGCATAAACTACACTGAAAGAGTCTGAAGACACCGCTTCAAGAAATGTGGTTCCTACAGCAGTCAGGATCGCTGTAGTAGTCAGTTCAAAAAGCACAGCTGGCACAGCTTTGGACTTGGAGTTGTAGGGCAAATGCAACACAGTCTTCAAGGAGGGCCAACGCATGAGCAAGTATGAGGGCAGACCTGCACACCTGCACTGAATAAATATGCAGTTTATATTTGCTCACTGGAGCACACATACAGTAGGAAAGCTGTTGGCGTTATGTGATCTTATTACCTGAAACATCTGTGAGAAAAAGACATCCCCAGTTTCATCCACACCTTCTTGTCTGTAACATACGTACATGGGCACACTCAGATAGCACAATAGATTTATCGATACCAATTTCTCTGTTCTTCCTGAGCAAGCTATCAGTGAAGATGAACAGCTGCCTCATTGTTCCTGTCACCCTCACCTCAGCCCTGCTGAAACAAAAGCATCTGCACTCATCCCTCTAGCTCTGTCTGATTGGTATTCTGTGATGTGTTTTTTAATCTTTCAATACTTCCCATGGTGCCCGACAAAGATTTCAAAACAATGTCCTTTTACATGCACGGTCGTTTGTGCAAACATGAGGTTACTTAGCAAATCGGTCTCATCTACAACAACCAATGGAAGTCTGGCTAATGTCAGTGATGAAAGATGAAGTTTGAAGAGTGTTTATCTGAGAATTGACCATTTCTAAAAGACGAACTGGATTTGCTTCCTGTCTGAGCTCAAAGGAGGACCAGTTGGGAAAACACTTTAAAGCTCATATCCTAAATCCACTGTGGTCTGTTGTCTCACCCTGCACAAAGAAACACATCAGAAGTTTTACCTCACTTTAAAAGTTTAAAAAGTCGTGTCCGGTGTCAAAGTTTAGATAGTTCTAGAAAGAGACACAATATTCCCAAATAGCTCGAGTTAAATACATTTTTAGTATTCCAGGAATTCTGGCATGCAATTTATTTGTCTTGACAGAGCAACAATGGTTACCCTAAAATTACACACAAATATCTTCCACGTTAAAATAATCTACAATTTGCAAGGGCAAAGGTCATTTGAAGGACCGTAGGCATAATTTTTCTTCCATGAATTCAGCGATGAGGTATGAATTCGCCGTGTTCGCAGAAAAAGAAAGGCTCATTAAACAGCCTAAAGATAAGGGCGTGTAGGGATACTAAACTTCTTTTTTATCCCCTATTAAAATGCCCTGCCTCAAAACTCCCAAACCATCACATGGCTAATTAACTCATACTATCCTGAAATAGTCAGCTAGTTAAAAAAATGCAAGGGCAACATATAAATACAACAAGCAGCAGGAGAATGGGAAGGTAAACACTATGAAATATTGATGGGGTTGTCGCACCCGACGAGTAAGTGAAGTTTATTTTGGTGTGAGTTTTACATCACACACTTCTTCCTGGACTTCCCGTCCACAGCATTGTAAGTCCACTCAACAATGTGGACTGTGTCCTCAACAGGACACCATTGTACCTCAGTGGGGTAATTTTTCCCTCAGGGAGCTATAGAATTGCACATTTCCTATGCTCAGTGAGTGCCAGAGATGTGGTGGAGAGTAAATCTAACTGAACTTTCCCCAGCTTCAACCATGTGAGAGACGTATTAAGGTTCATGACAGCTGAAGCCTCCTTCTATTAAAACATGAAAAGGAAGCTTTACTTAGCTGTGGTGTACTTAATTATACAATAAGCATCGCATTGTCGCACCTCATTTTGTAAGCCTTCTTTTGCTGTCAAATTCCTTACATGAATTGATTCTATCACACAAATGTACCTCAACACACAGACCTGTTTCCTGTTTCATCTGTGCCATATTATCTTCAGAGAACGGGATGATGTCGGAAGACGATTTCCAATTTGGGCCACTCTTCCTTGGAGATTTGCCAGAAGTATGACAGCCAGAGACGCTCTACTTCAATCTGTTTCAGATGGCGACAGACCTCGTCCATTAGTTTTGAGCATCTTCCGCTCCAATCTCAGAATTTGTATCTATGCATTTGTTAATGTTGGTGTATTAAAAGTAATGTAAGCTAAACTATATTGATCATAAATCATTCTTCAGTTGGAGTTGAGAGCCTTACACTTTGACACATAACAACAAACATAACATCAGCAACCATTAATCAGAGAGTTCAGGTCTGCAGGCTGGCCAACAGCGAGGTGTAAATAAATGTGAGTTTTGCCTCAGCGGCAGTGTCTGAACAATCCCTCCTTTGTACTCCATCTTAGCTAAAGTCCACCATCGACACACAACCACATCTACGGCAGCACCATGTGGACTTCAGTCCTGCTTGAGTTGTTTGCCGTTTGCCTCAGCTAGAGAAGAGAAGTGGGATGGAGAGCAGTGGTTTGTATTAAAAGATCCGGCTTGCTTTGTGTTAAAAAATCAAGTCAAGAGAGTTTTCTTATAAAGACAAGAAAATTATACGAGTCTGAGATGAAATTTCATCAGACATAAAGAACCATGATTTGCACCCTGGAGCAAAAAAAACAAACTCACCTAAACTGAATGCTAATGGGGGATGTCCCTGTTGGATGAATGGGAATTTTAAAATGCTGAGTTGAAGCCAGTTAAAAGCCTTGTGATGATTTTAATGGTCTGAAATAGGGCCACCGTCCAAGTTGTCCAAACTCTTTCCATTTTTTTTTTATGTGGTGTCAGGAATAATCCCATTGAGCTGGAGCCATCTTCATCAAAGCATATTTTGCACCCAAGCTGTTAACATATTCCTAGAGAGAAAAATTGTTTTAAGACCAAAGTAGTAACAAATGAACTGGGCCTGTGTATCCACTCGTAAAGCATAGATAGCTGAGTGCTGCCAGGTTAGCCAGGTTAAGACAAGATTAACACAAGCAGCAATACCTGTAATTACCCTGTAGACACACCTGTTATCATCCAGGTCTGCAATAGAGTAAATAAAACACCAGAGATGAACTTCTTTGCAATGAGAAGATGACAGTACTCCACCAGAAAACAATAACAGAAATCTCCGTTGAGTTGTAATGGAAAAGTTGCACTCAATACAAGCTCTGCACCCATCAGCTGTTTCTTTAAAGTCAATATACTTATGAACATTAAACATTGATACGGTACTTCATAGCCAAAGTATATGTATGTGTATGTATGCATATGTGTATATGTATGTATACGTGTGTATATGTATACGTATGTATATGTGTGTATATGTATGAGTACGTGTACGTATACGTGTATATATATATATATATATATATATATATATATTATACACATACACACACATATATAATATACATATAACCCTACTTTCAAAGAACAAATGTGTATTGTTTATTCTCATGTATTCATCAGCTTTTGGTAAGATTCACCTAGTGAATGAGCTGATAATTGTGAATCAAGATATCTCTGTATAGCAATTTTTCAATATACAAAAATATCATAAATGAAGATAGTTGTAGTTTTACCTACTCGGGCAAACACACAATGATTTGACTTTCTTTCATGTACCAAGCGAACAGAGAAAGATATCAACTGTGCTCAAGTTACGCTGAATGGTACAAGAGAACAGTCTTGGAGTGTTCCTGTCCACTGTTTGACTCCCAAAAAACAAAACAGGACCCGGCTTCCACCAAGCCAACTGGGAAACAATTAGTCAACTGATGTCATAGAATATAACGTTTAGGCTATCATACATCATCACACAACTTCACTGTTGTATTGTTCTCGCTTCTTACAGAGGAAAAGCGAGTGAACGAGAGAAAAACACAAACCGCCTTTATTCTACACACAACAGCCTATAAGTGTCAGCAACAACAAATCTGTTAGTTAGTAACTGTTTTTTCAAAGCCAACCTCTTTGGATGCCAGAATGTCTTTCGAAGTGGCTATTGAATGCACCGACAGCCATTTGTTTGGCTCTACTATTATAGTATCTCTTCTAGTGCACAGTTTTTATACTCATTGTAGCAAAATGACAAAAAGTATTCGTAATGTTGTGTCAGTGCTGCAAACTGGTATCTGCTGAGCAGCGACCTGTTATTAGTAACTAACTATCCCCCCTGAGAAAGACTGCAGCTCTGGGGTCATAAAAGCTTCCCATACTGCCCCTCTGTCTGGAACAAATGGGGCAAACTAAAAGGGCCCATGACAGGACGACGGCTCGTAGAACTACAAAACCTTAAACAAGCTACGGTGGGAGGAGTCATTGCGATTCACAATGACCCAGCTCTGAAGAAGAATTTGTCTCCACTTTGTTTTACAGTAGGCTTTCTGTCTGTGGTCGTTAGCCTGAGTTATCTGATCGCTTTCAGCATGATTTGCTGGTTTTGCGTCCTGGTTTCTCTCACTGTAACCATCTGATCTACACGGACCAGAATCCTTGCAAACATTTACGGCGTAGAAAACACTGCAGATGGAAATTAAATACAAATGTAATTTTGACATAACAGATGTGCCGGTGTGGCAGTGATGGTGTGGTAGCCTTTCGATGATTTTCAAACCTGAATCCGGCAATTTTGAATTTGTGAAGGACATGTGAAAATCTGACACACACACACACACAAAAACAAACTTCACACTGCAGCCTGTGACTTTGTAAATCCTGTCCTCTCTGCTTCAATAATGCAATCATGCCATACATCTCTGTCACCACATGGTCACACCCCTTACAGTATCTCTATCCCACACACACACACACACACACACTGAGGCTGTACACCTATCTAATGGAGAGAGTAGAGGTCCTGCATGGAGGATGTGAGGAGAATTTTAATAACCTTCTTCCTGTCCAGGCACTACCACTTTCCATTAACAATGCAGGCAGAGATAATTGCTCTCCCCTCTCCGATGGGACCCCCGTGCGTTAATCCATATGCTGATGTGTTTCTGTGTCATTTGTCATGTGGCCCGCGTGCTGCATACATGTGTTTTTAGACACAAAATATTGCGTTAACAGCACAGCCTTTTAAGTTGAACTCAATCATGTTACCAAAACGTGCCAGAGCTGCACAGTGGCAGGAAGGAAAGGAGTGGAACAGAAAGGCATATATCACACACACACACAGCTCTTTGAAAGGAAACACGCAGCTTATGGTGATCAAATGCTGCTCGGTCAAACAACGAAACAAGGCTCACTTGATGAAGTAGCTGGCTCCTTCGTCCGTGAAGCCCTCTTCCCATCCTCTTGGCAAATCTATAACACGAACAAAACAAAAACACACTGAACGACCCGCCACAGACAGAAGACACATTGCAGCAACAAAAAAAAAAACGGGAAAAAATGTCCTTGGTATCCAACAAATCAGATAGTTTATTCGCGTACCTGACCGTATCATGTGCCCCGAGTTAACAGGTTCGCCCGTGCGCGGATGTAGCCAAGTAGTGCTATGAGTTTTATCACTGCAAGAAAGAGACACCTGTTACTGTGCGATAATAGGACAACAAAACATTTTAATAATGCCTCGTAAAGTACGAAGCGATAAATAGTTCAACCCGCTCACTTAATAAAGAAGACCCGGCCGTCTCTACAAACTCCATACGACCAGTGGTCAGGTAGGGTGTCCCGCCCGAGAGGTGCCGCCATGATCTCTCCTCTCCTCTCCGGCTCGGCTTGTCCCCCCCCCTCTCTCTCTCTCACTCTCACTCTCCCTCTCTCCCTCTCTTCCCTCTCCGCAGACTTTTCCAGAGAGCCAAGATAAAACCACCGCTAGGGCTGCATAGTTTTTTTTAAAGGGGAAGAATAACAAACCCGTCAACAGACCACCTTTCACGACTCTGTTTTTTCACCAGTTCCCACAAGTAAGCAGCCTGGTAACGTTAGATAGTTAAAACAAAGCCCTCCAAATAAGAAGGGAAGCCCACTGCGGAGGGAAGCAGGGTGTAGCCCCCAGGCTGTGCTACAAGTGCACTGGGTCAAAGCTGGAATTTATGACTGGGACATTTCAGGACAATGCTGTTTGGCACACAGGACTGCCTAAGCTAAGTCCTTTATCAGACATTAAAGGATTAAAGGAATACCTGAAAATACATGTTTTAGCCTTTTTCTCTCATCTCCACATACTGTAGTAGTTTAGAGAGATACAAATATCCAAGGAACCCAGCTTCCCTACAGAAATGTTTTATCACAGGCTTATTAAGAGGCAAGCGGCAGCCATGTCTGAGGAGACTAGGAAATTAAGAGTAGGCTATAGCTGATTAGTTTTAATAAAAGTCAGTAGGCTACATGTAAACTTCAACAGAATGTATATTTATACCATATATAGATCAATATAAACCCTATATGTGCATGGTCACTGTAGAACTGCATGAAGACAAGAAAGAGATGGACACTGTGTGTGTGTGTGTGTGTGTGTGTCTGTTTGTTTCTGTTTGTTTGTGTACATAGATATGGTGGAGAATGCCCACATGACTGAATGTACGTCCACGCATGGAAGCTTTAGATAAAGTTTGTCAGCCTCACACCACCTTCACTGCAGTCACGCTTTGAGGACAGAGAGCCTTCCTGACCATGACACATTACAATAATGCTTACGCTGCATCAAACAGACCTGCCCAACTTACCAATGCTGCCCATAAATTTCACTGCGTGAGGACAGGCAATGTTCAAAGTCATGTTGGCACAGGAGTTATTTTGCTGAGCATCAACAGACAAGCAGCAAGGTTTCACTTCATCATGCTCTCTTATATAACTGCGTTATCATTAATATGATGCAACATAACGTGCTCAAACTGGGGGAAAGGAAAATGTATCCCAATAAACTTGTCAAAAAATCAGAGAAACACGTGCAAAAGTGCCTTCCCCTTGTGTTTCTTGTGTGGTGTAGAATCTAGATGACAGTAATCTTCATGTGCCCTTTGTGAAAGGAAATGATACTGTATGGGGTGCACATCAGTGAGCCGTGCATCTGTCAACATTATAAATATTTGATCCGTGATTCCCTTTTGGGGATGCTTTGTTGAAACCTTCTCCAGTGGTTTAAGGCACTTGTTCTTCAAAGACAGCGAGAGATAAAACGTTTCCTCTCTCAAAAAAACAATAATGAAAAAAATGATAATGCAGCTGCTGTTTAGAAACCAATTCACTGTGAACCTTCTAGTTTTTTTCTGCCTGAGAAAGAAGTCAAAGAACAAAATGATTTTTCCTGCTATAATATGGTTCTAACCTTACAAATGGGGTCTCTGTTCGTAGCGCACATCATAAGAAATTAATTATCAAATAAATTAGATTTTTAGATTTTTTTCCTTTTAATTTCACACTCATGCGTTGTGTTCTGTTCTACGTTTTAACCTTAAAGGGAAAAACCCTAATGTGTTAGTCATAACAATTCTGTACTACATTGTTCACAAAATGAGAACAGCACCACCCAATTGAAACAGATCTGAAGAAGAAACTATGATGCATTTTTGGCAATCAGTGTTCTGAATTGGAAGGTCAAGCAGTGAGATATGTGCAACAAGCATGAATACTGTCTGCATTAATCAATAATACAACTCTATTATTGATTAATGCTGTTCTGATGTAACTTTTTGTGTATTCTTCAACCAGTCTGCAAAATGAAGCACAGAGTCGCTGGATCATCATCCATACTGCAGTGTAATCATCCGCTATCCCCACTCAATGGCTGGTATTTGACCTTGCTATGATTTATCATCATCCCCATTACACACACATACACACACACACACACACACGTATACATTCTAATTCATACACAAATGCACACATAGTTGATGCGCAGTCCAGTGCAGCTCTGCAGCACGGTCTCTGCTGCTGCTGCTGCTGCTGATTCCCGTTTCTCGGCTGCCAGAGGCTCACAATGCAGCAAGGTGACTCAATGTTATTGTCTTCTCCTCAGAGAGCCTCCTCCAGCTGAATCACAGCTTACTAAAGGTGCTGAGCAGGAAATGTAATAAAGATTCTCTTGTTCTTTTGACTTTCAGCTCTCCAGATCAGAGTAGTTTGAGTCCTAATCTATCTGGCAGATGCCCACATAGGAAATCAATGTCTTTTTTTGACAAATGCATTTTTTTCAAATGATCCCTTAATCTCAGCAGGATAAGGGATATAAATGAGTGTGTGCAGGATACTCAAAGTGCCTGAATTATTAACTACACATCGTGTAGGGGCATATTTAGACAGTAGTCTCCTCTTCATTATGCGGCACATTTAATCATTGTATAGTTGTGGATTAAAAATAAGTGCTGATCTATACCATCTGCTCTAGCTTTCTTTCACTTTCTATGTTAGTTATGATCCCATGACAATGATTAATTGCCTTCCAGCTCATTGAGCTATTACACTGACATCTACATGGCAGGGATATAGGTTATATTTACTCATAAGCCAAACAATTCAGATAAAAATTACATTCATTGTCCTGTGGTACATCACAAGACTCGTAAATAGTCTGATGGGGGATTAATTCTAGCAGATAAAGTTCCAGCACAAAGCACCTGGGCAACAAATGTGGCTTCTATCCAAGCGGGTCCAAGAAGCCGTTGAAAGAAGAGGGAAAGGTTACTATGGAATCTAATGTGAACACAGTTTGAATCTTTTTTTGAAATCTGTTATTTTTAATGCTTATAATAAAACTAAAAAAACAGAACAACTACTGCCGTTGCAAAGCTACCAAGGACCACAGCTTCTAGTTCATTTTAATCATGCACTCGTTAATCCTGTACACATTTGACCAGTTAAGCCATCATGGACTTCCAATTCTACATGGCTATGAACATAATGGAATAATGTAACTCAGACCATATAGAACAGTAGCACCGTCTGTTGGAGGGACGGGGGTTATACGTGTGTGCATAGTATGGTATATAATGTGTAGAGTATATGATTCTGCATATAACATCAATGTTAAAGTGATCAAATCCAATCAATGCCATTATAAATGATAAATAGCTGCACTGACATAGTGCCTTTATTATCCAAGCGCTTTACAGTTTAGCCGATTAACACAGCGATGGCAGCAAGCCATGGTGGTCCGACCGCAGCGGCAATTTGGCCAAGGATACCTCGACATGTGGACAGGAGGAGCTCAGGATGAGCCAGCTCAGTGAACAGTAGACAGTCCTCCCAACCTCCTGACACACAGCACACTTCCATTTCAATTGATCATTTACAACGTGGCTGTACCGTTACAAGCAGTGACGTTGAACAACTTTCAGGCTCTGTTGCGTCAAAATGTTGATTGCAGTAAAAGTTATGTCTACAAATAACCAAATTATTTGATAAATGACTCTTGAAGAGAAAATTAACTCAACTTCATTCAAACTGGACAGAAACTAAATAAAACTGACTAAACACATCTTGGCTAGTATTCCCACTGCTCCAACAATCAGCAACTCCGGTTTGGTCTAAATAAATCCTTAATTTATCGAGTAAAATGAGAAAATATGCCGGCTCTACTGTTTTCCCCTGCTGTATCAAAATCGCCCTGCTGGTCTCGATGTTTTTCTATATCTTTCCCGCTGCAGCTGCAACCTTGAGAGGCCTCTCTCTCCGGCTGAATACGACTGAATATCCGAGTCAGCCAAAGGACTGTAAAATGTACACTGAAAAAATCCTTGCCCATAAAATAATCTGCACATATATTTTGGGATGCCATTTTCGTTGATGGAAACTTAACTAACTTGGAGAACAAGGAAGTTTTTGAATGGCATTGCGTCCAATTGCACTGAGGAAGGGCACCAGGTTTTGAAGCAAATTTCAGGTGGTGGCCAAACCATGGAATTACAACTTCCAGATGTGTCACATGATGCCGGCACATAAAGACTTCCCCCCCAATAATCTTACATTGGGAAATAGACATCTTATACAGTTTATGGTAAATCCGCGGATATGTTTTTCAAGTAATTCAACTTCCTAAAAGTTATTTTCCCTAAGTATTTCCATTTTCTTTTCTTCTTTGTACTTCTACTTTATTACATTTATCTGACAGCTACAAGCTACTCTGAAGATTCTTATTTTAAGTGCATGCATGAAATTTGATTATATGCTTATAAAATGCAGTGCCTAGTTATTGATTAAATAGCAATATCTAGTTGCAATTAGCTCCACCTATAGCTGCAACATCTAAATACGGCAAACACATCAATGCATCAGTAATAACAATCCACTATTATTATGTACAATAATACTAATAACAAATAATAGCACACTTTTACTTTTGATAACTCAAGAATGTTTTTCTGGTATTACTTGTGTGCTTCTTCTGAAGTAACATTTTGAAAGTAAGGCTTATACTTACATTATAATAGAGTATTTAACTTCAGTTAATTATTTGAACCGCCTTTTCCACCACCTGTGCAGTAAAATAATAGTGGACGTATTGTATGCTCTATACCTACTTTATTAAGTCAGTTTGATAGCAATTATGTTTTTCACAAATTAAATAAAAAACAAGACAGATGTACTCCATAATAGTCTGCACTGTACTCAGGCTAAACTGCTCATGAAAAGAGCCACAAAGTATCATCCAGCATCACCGGCTTTATCTTTCTTGAGTCACATGTGTTTCGTTCCTGACTTCATTCTCTCAAATTGCTTACGTCATACGTCAACGCTCGCCACGTACGATTCAATGCAACCTAACTTGCTAGTCTGTTTGACGGAAAGCTTGAACTGACCACTGCGGTTAATGCTACCACGCAAACAACCAAACATGCTGACTAGCGAGCGAGCTAGCTGCCGACAGAACTCCCAGCTGAGAGGAAGCAACGGGAGGAAAGCAGAGCAGATGAGGTCCAGGATTCATAACAAAGTGAGTATAGAGCTGACGCATATCTATCGCGCTATTTAGTGAAGCTTTTAACATTACGTATAGTGACCCGAACAGCAGCTGCGCTGTTCAGACTGAAAACATACATGAGTAGCGTAGGTGTTTGAATCGCATTAGCCAAATCTGTCAGTGGCAGTGCTAATGCTAACACCAATAGCTTCCGCTGGATATTAGTAGCAGCCCAGAAATGTGCAACATAAGCAGGCTACAGGAGCTTTTTTTAAAGGGTAGATGAGGACGCTGGCTACACAACGACCCGTGTATACCCAGGGACACATTGACTGTTTATCCTCACATACAGTATAGTTTTAAATAATAGTGTGATACATAGCTGATCTGCTTCTAACCTTAATTGTCCTCATTTCCAGATGTGTTGGAGCCGGGCCCTTCACACCGGCTGGCTCCTGCTGCTGGTCCAGCTGCTTTGCTTAGAGGCAGTGCCCATCAGTATGGATAAGACAAAAGTCCGAGAGCCAGAGAAAAAAGCAGAAGAGCCCCCAGCTAGTGTGGTAAGAAGACACAAGGTTTACACACTACACATCATAGTTCCTGTTATTATGTCATCATTATTCATGTTAAGTAATTACAGCATGAGCTGTGATGCTATGCTGTTATGTCGCTGTTATGACGCTGTTATCAACTGCTTCATTGACAATAAACACGAGAGAGCTTGATAACAGCACCCAGACTCATTTAAATGAGAGATGGCCTTATGTCTCGTTGTGCTACAATAAAATTACCTCAATCGGGCACTCTACTCTAAACGCCTGATCACACAAATCCATTTCATCAGTACAACAGCTCCAGAGGTTGTAGACTGGAGTCTCCGATTTCTGCCTCAGGAAGAGATTGTCCATGTTAAATATTGACATTCTGACTTAACAGAGCTTAAACAAATACCATGTAGATGCATGCCTTCAGGTGGGAATGCAAACAACTGCATTATTTTTATTGGAGAATTAAGTAAGTGGTCTTTAACCACAAAATAGCTGCAGCACATGGTAATTTACAGAAAGGCAGTAATACAGTTTATAGACATTAATCTCTACATCAAACATCTAGACAGAGGATCTGTTATGCTGGTCAGCAGACGCATGTCCTTCAGTACATCAGAACTCTCAAAGAAGTGTTAAGACTAAAACATAATTAACAAAGAAAAGTGATGATCATTGTAGGATTGCTTGGTAATACAGTACATTTAAGTGACATTTGATTTGTTCCATTTTATAGGACACGGGACTGCACTACGACCGCTACCTCAGGGAAGTCATCGATTTTCTAGAGAAAGATCAGCATTTCAGAGAAAAGCTCCACAACACAGACATGGAAGACATCAAGGTATCCTACTTTCCTCTTGTTTATTTTGATCTTTATCAGCATGGCAGGAAGTTTCCACCTGCCCTCTGTGAACTATATTAGTGAATCATTACTCTGACTGGTAAATGATGGGCTTTTACTTGTCCAGGAATGTGATTTTTGGTCCACTGCACCGTTCATTTCAAGTTTAGAGAATAATTGTTGTGAAATGTTGGATTTATATATTTATTACATGTACTGCTATGACTCCATGTGTGAAATAACACAAGTTAAAACAAATGCATTCATGTATAATGCAGCAAGGTAAGCTGGCCAAAGAGCTGGACTTTGTCAGCCACCATGTCAGAACCAAACTGGATGAGTTGAAGAGGCAGGAGGTAAGCCGACTCCGAACTCTGATTAAGGCCAAGCAAGACCTTGAAGGAGGGAATGGTATGTTGTGCAACACAATTTATATTTTGTTTTGTTTTCTATTTCAAGTAAGATGCTACGATTTTTTAATAGTACATTAGAGGTAAATAAATTATAAGGAAAATTTAACGATATGTATCCGTGTATGTTTTGATTAATGCCATTGATTTCTCCCTGAATAGATATAGCGGTTGACCACCAGGCTCTGCTGAAACAGTTTGAGTACTTGAACCACATGAACCCGCACACATTTGAAGTGGATGACCTGGATCGGCTCATTAAATCGGTAAATGTCATCACTACTCCATGCCACAAAAACGTTAATTGGTGACATGTTCACACAATTTCACTTATTCTAACTGCCACTGACCTTTTTAAGGGACGTAATTGGGCAGATGGAAAGTACACACTTTAAAGAAAGGTTGTGTCCTGAAACAGTAGAGTGCTGCAGTAGAGAAGTTAAAACAGGACCGCACGCAGCGACTTTCTTTAGAAGCCAACAGTAACGGCAAAAAGAATGACCCTAGCAGCGAAACATTTTCAACATGCAGGAAAGGCCGGCAGGTGTAGGTGTGCAGTGTCATTATGGGAAGCTGATCTGCCCTCTGCAACTGCTCTTCATTATTAGTACAATTCTTTTTTTTTTTTTTAACGTTTGAAGTCTTAACAAGTTGGTTTTCATACCGAATTGAATCAACAGACAATTACTGGAGCCTGAGAAATCTCAGTAAACAACAATGTAACATGCAGTTTAATACATAAGCTGTTCAGTTTCTAGATGGGCTAACAACATAAAAAAAAATGTAAAATGCCATATAAATATGAAGTAGGACTTTGCACTGTATTAACTGATCAATTGAATCAAGGCAGATTTCCAACCGTTGTAATCTTCCCTCTATGTATTTAGGCCACTAAAGATCTGGAAAACTTTGACAAAGACAGACACGAGGAGTTCAAGAAGTATGAAATGACGAAAGACCACGACAGGCGGGAACACCTGAAAACACTGGACGAAGACGAAAGACAAAAAGAGGAGGAGCACTACGAGGAGATGAAGAAGAAGCACGCTGACCACCCTAAAGTCAACCACCCAGTAAGTCTGATTCAGGTGCACCCGCTAACAGGTGACAGCCTGACACACACACACACGATGTCTTTGGTTTCAGCCAACGAAGAGTGACTTTGTCCCTTTTTGTATTTGCAATTTTAAGTCCAGACTTTAAGAGTTCACTTTCTGCAAACTGTACATGGTGGGTTTGGGATTTCTGTGGAGTTCATGTCCAGCTACCAGAATGTTGAAATGCGTTGTTATTTATCCAGTTGTATTTTAAATGTGATTTTGCCTCCATGTTGCAGGGTAGCCAGAATCAACTGAAGGAGGTGTGGGAGGAAGCGGATGGCTTGGACCCTGAAGATTTTGACCCTAAGACCTTTTTCAACCTGCATGGTAAGACCTTAACTGGACTGGAAGGATGATTTTCATTTATTCAGAGCTACCAAACCAGTATTGTACTAAATGGTATTTGTTCTTTCTTCCTTATTAATGAAGATACCAATGGAGATGGCTTTTTTGATGAACAGGAGCTGGAGGCATTGTTCACCAAAGAGGTAAAGCCACGGCATCAAAGAAATGTGAAATGTTTCAGTGAATGGTCTTTGCACTGACTGTTGGTCTCTGTGGTTTTAGCTCGAAAAAATCTATGACCCCACCAATGAAGAGGACGATATGGTGGAGATGGAGGAAGAGAGGCTACGTATGCGAGAGCATGTTATGAATGAGGTACCGTTACAGTTTCATCAAACAGTTTTTTGCATACGTGTTTAAATAGAGCCTCTTATCCGTTATCTATTGCGTTAACTCTGTCAATAAACGATAGCATATGTGATTCATTTCTTTGCATAAAGCTCTTTGCTGCCGTCTTCATCATAGGTGGATTCTAACAAAGACAGACTGGTCTCTTTAGAGGAGTTTCTGGTCGCTACAAAGAAAAAGGAATTCTTGGAACCAGACAGCTGGGAAGTGAGACACAATACATGCGTCATATCAGCAGTAATGTAATCTTAAAACCATTTTGTTGAAAGAAGCAGGACTGAATTCAATTGCGTCGACTGTGTGCTCCTCAGACCCTGGAGCAGAACCAGGCTTACACAGACGAGGAGATGAGGGAGTTCGAGGAGCATCTTGTGCAGCAGGAAGAGGACCTCAACCAGAAAGCTGTAGACCTCCAGAATCAGAGAGACGAGCTGGAGAGACAGCAGGAGCAGCTCAATGCACAGAAAATAGAGCTGCAACAGGTAAGGAGTGGTACTCATTTAAAAAAATATATATAGTTCTGTCGAGGTTTCACCTGAACGAGACATAACATATGTAGGTGGATTCTCAGTGTGACAACATTTACTGACTTATTTTCCTTTAGCTATCTTAATTATTATAAAAACTCTGGGATTACCCTGATTTCACACAGTACTGTGGAGATAACCTTATATGAAACTCGTTACAGGCAGTTGAGCATATGGAAAGGCTGAAAACACAGAACGTAGAACTCCCTCCAGAGGTTCACGGTGAGTTTCGATCACACCATTTATTTGTTTGATTGTTTCATTTGGCTGGTTGACCGCTGAAAATGTAAAACTCTTTCTTTTTTGTTGCAGTTGAAGGAAATGCTATCCCAGAGATGCACGCCGTTGACAACCAGTTGCATCCTGAACAAGAGGCCCAACTGCAGGGGCATGACCCTGCACTCCAAGTTCAACAACATACACCTCAGGAACACCATGAACAACATCAAGACATGGCCCAGCAAGGGCTCCCCCAGACACACCAGGATCTGCCACCGGGCCACCAAGAAGCTGCACACGGCCAGCATAACGTGCCGTAACTGTGCTGTCAGAACTTGAACCTCCACAACCAGACTTTGGCAGCACCTCCACTCCAGTGTGCAGAGGAGCAGTTCCTCCTGAGTATTAGGCCTCGTAAACCAGCATGACTTTAGGGGTTAGGAGGAATGAGAGCAGCACAAAAGGAATCCCTGCTGAATGATCCCAGTGTTTGATAATAGCTGTAATCCTTTGGATTACATAACGGAATTACAATAGTTAAATGACCCACCACGGACGTGCATCTTAAAATGTGCAGTTACACTTTCAAAGAGTGTTTGATTACATTAGAAATGATCAATTGCTAATACCATTATACAAAAATATAATTTTGGTGAGTTTTTCTTTACTTGCTGTTCAAAGTACAGAAATAACAAGGATAACAATGCTACTGGCTCTACAAGTTAGATGTGTACAGTGCAGCTGCTGAACGGGGTACTGTGTAAAAAAAGTCATTTAAATTTGATCATTTTGAGTTTGATATACTGACTTGACTGTCAAGAAACCCCCAAACATCTTTTACAGTTTACATGTGTGACTTATGGCGTGTGTCAATGGGCTGTATCAGAGATTTTAGAAAATGACTGCAAGAGACATTTTGAAGATTTTCTATGATAGCATTTAAGAGCTTAAAAGAGCAAAAGAACTATAGCAGTTTTAACCAGTATGCAGCATCTTGATGTCTTAACCAGAACCATTCAATTCGAGACATTTTGATTATGTAAACATAATCTACAAGGGTCAGGTCAGCTCTTTGTATAAATGTGTTTTATTTCTATTATCTCAACCTGCCGCTTTCAATCAAACTCCCTCATGGAGCCAGACTGCTCAGATTTCCCAACGCTTCTGCTTCTCTCTTCATGTTGATTCTGGTTGCTTTCAGAAATTTCTCAACTGTAGAAAATGCGTCCCCTGCCTAAAAAGACATCTGGTACAAGGTTTGCCCACACTGCAGCTGCTCTACGCTGACTTTGATGTCAAAAATATATAAAGGTGCTCGGTTCTTTAAATAAAGATAGGTGTGAAACATCTCTCTATTCAACACACGTTTCTTCATTACAGCCCAAACTCCTGCAGATGCTCACACAGGAGTTTCAGGTTACGTACAGTATGTTGGACATCTGAAATAATACATTTGCTTTGCTACGTTTAATAGTATTGTTGGCATTTCAAATCGGGTCTATTGTACGTACACAAAATGTGTACGTTCATACATGAGTTGACAGTGATTTTTAAACACTTTTGCTGATTGCAGGCTTTTATTGCTGTCTCTTTCATCTCAATTTTCAAAGTGCTGGATTTGGGAAATAAGTTAAGTTAATTTTAAGATTTTTTATTTGTCCGATTGTCAAAAAGTGATGATATGAAAACCCTTTTGAATTTGCATTCAGTACCCATTGTATTTGTCACCATATGTGCATTCTTGGTCCTAATTTGAAGAAAAACGTGGCATTGGCATATTCCCCCACAAATGAGCAGTTTGGTGTAATTGCTGTGCTATCCAGGTGGCTTTTTTCATGTAATGTTGTGGTTTCTTCTAGCTGGCAGACTGTGGCCATAGCAATCCGGTGTTTACCTATTGGCCACTTTTTACTGAACAAGGCTTCGTTTGCATCCAGCGATAACAGGTCTGCCATATTGTGGTTTTACTTTCTACAAAATCCAGATGTGGAATACAATTTTTTCTATTTTGCTGTGTCGTGTGTTTTCTGTGTCCCAAGTGTTCCTTAGACGATACTTCTTCATAATTTGCACCAAATACAGAGTGTTTTCTGATTGCTTGCTGCTGGATAAAATAGTAATTTTGGCGATACTGTACACCTCAGTTCACGATAATAAAACACGTATGACCGTTCAGTTTGTGTAAGATTTTATCACTTAAGGAATGACCTATCGCTCTCTTACATAACAATGTACAACAGTTAAGTATGGATAAGCCATACATACAATATATTAAAATATAAAGCAACAGCACCTTAGCTGTTGAAGTAGAAATACGTAGTATGATTTAATTCCAAGTGGTGTTTGTTCTTACAAAGTTTATTCCTAGTGTATCATCTTAAAAAAATCATGATCTACTATGTGCAGGCTTCATTTACCTGTTGCAGTACAAGCCTTTGAGTGAACACAACAGACTTCAACTTCCACTGGGATCGTCTGGTTTTCCTACAAACAAGAATGCAAAGATGCTATAAATCTACACATAGTGACTTCAGTTACCTGATTTACTGACATGTAGAAGCATATAGAATTAAAATGTGTAACCTCAAATGCAAACCAAAGCAGCAAAGTAGTATCATTAAAGAGAAGGTAATAGAACACAACTTTATTGAAACAGTCTCAACCAATAACATCAGCGTACAAAGAGGTGATGGCGCAAGAGGTGACAGAGGGGTGAAAAAAAGAAAGAAAGAACACAAATGCCTTTATGAAAATTATAAGATCAAAAGGAAAAAGTGTCTGACAGCACAGGGCAGAAGGAAATCATTCTCATGGAATCAGATTGACAGTGGCAGGGTATTTTTTGCATTTATTTTGTACAAAAAATAAATTAATGAAATCTTTCAAGTTTACAGGAATATCTATGTTGTTTTATATCACACAGACTTGCTGATAATCCTACATGTGGAGAAGTTCAGCCTTCTGCGTTAGAGCGTTAAGAGGATCTAGACAGACCAATGCAGGCTGACTGATAAGTAGGCCAAGAGTTTAAAAAAAATAAGTTTACCAATGAGGAACAAAACATTGTTATAAAAGTGAGCTGGGGCGAACACATTCAAAAATCCTGAATGTTAAACACGGCGCAACTTGACGGTCCTTCGGATCCTTTAGGATCTCATTGCTTGAGCATTTCCTCTTGACAAACTTCGAGGTCCTTGGGCCGGGCCCCGCTTGTAGTTCTGCTGATATCCCTCCTTGAAGAAACAACGGGGATTTACAATAACTGGCCAATTTGAAAATGCACCGAATAAAAGATACTATATGAGCCTTTGTTGGTACATTAAATGTATTAAAGTTAATAATGAAAGGACCCCTTACCCGTTGGTAGGTGTTATTGGAATAGTCTCGAGAGGTGTTGAATTGGGTTTGACCATAACCACTGCTGGGAGCATTTGAGAAAGGAGGGCGATAGCCTTCATAACCCCCTGACAACAAAATACATTGGAATTAACACAGATTTGTGTCATTTCAACATGCATTGTGTCATTACAGTGAATCATGAGGCCACATGTTGCGTCTCTGTAAAACATAGTTTGATGCTTGTACCTCTAAATCCATTGGAGGAGCCCCGATATCCGTTCATCATGCCACGGCTGTTCCTGGGTCCACCCCTGGGCACAGCCCTGCTATTGTAGAAGGACTGGCCTGGCTGTCCAAACCCTGCACCTGGAGAGGACTCTTCATGGCCTCCTGCTGACGGCAGGACATGCTCTTGGGGCTGGAACCCACCAACAACTGCACAGAGACAGACGAAACAAGAGATTTCATAAGTCTATTATGGAGTGTTTTTTGCCTTATGGCATGCTGATCGACACTTATTTCAACTTCAGCATTGTCATCAACGGGCTGTCTTGTCCTGCCGCACAGAGGCCCCTGAAATCCTGACACATATTTAATTAATTTATCTATAAACATTACATCTTGTTCCTACAAAATAAAATATGTCTTTAAGGGTTTCGGGGGCTCTATACAAAAACCTGTGTGTGAATATTTCCGTTCTCCTTATACTGTCGGGTGAATGTAAAAGTTACGCCAAACAATGTCAACAGCTTTTTCAGTGCATGTCAACTGCTTGGTCTTAAGATATGCAACCAGCCAGAGCTATACCCTCACCTGACTGTAGTGTCTCCTGTGGGATGTCAGGCTGGTCTGTAGCACTCTCTGACTGGCTGCTGAAGCCCTGTCCATAGCCACCAGGGAACTGGCTGGGCTGCTTCAGAGGGTCTGCTTGCCCATCAGTGGCTGGAGGTACGGGTGCATTCAGATTAAATACCTGAAGAGGAAAATAAATGTCCTTTAACAATTGTAATTCCGAGCAAGATGAACTGTAGGATTGGGAAATGAGGGGCCATGTCAAATTGTTACCTGGTTAGATGGTGCACCAATAATAAACCATTTCTTTGCTGCTACTAATAAGCCGTCCTTAAATATTTGATTTACTTTGCTAATCCTTAGCTTGTACAAAAAAGTCCAAAACGCGACATTTTCCAACATAATGTATTCAATAAGTCCAAACATGTTCACTGTTATATTGACTACTACGTCCCAGATAAAAAGCGTACCGCTTGCACTGACTGGAAGGGTGCGGCGTTGACATTGATGCCTCCAGTGTGAGTGGATTTGGAGACAGGTGGGAAAGCAGAGGACAGGGAACAAGGGGCGGGGGACTGCTCAGACGAGAGAGACATTGACACCTGGGGAGGGAGGAAGGAGGAAATTCAGAAGGCAAGGAAACAAGGATTGAGGAGAGGTCAGTGGGAGAGACGGGATCTCTGATTTTTCCCCTTAAAGCTCCTTTCTATATTATTATCACATTTAAATGATACATCCAATTTTTCCCCGTAATACACAGTAACTAAAATCATGACATGTCAGAGAGCATCACATTTAATCCACGTAGCAGCACTTTTAAAAATACGGCCCACATAATACAAGAAATAACCTGTACTACCTCTCAAGCACAACAAAGCAACCATTTCCTGTTGTGCCTCCACTCTACTTACTTGTGAGGAGTCCTGTGGTCCAGACACTGTTTGAGGAAGTCTGGACTCTGAGTGGGCTGTTTGGGAGAAAAGGAAAAAAAGAGGCTCATTAGAAGAAAATAAAAGTTGCCAACAGGTGTATAACGCTTCTAGGATAATATATACAAATCACTAAACAGTCATAAGTCCCTAATCAATAGAATATGTGAGAGTATATGTTCAGAGTTATGGCAAATTAACCGGCACTCACTTGAGTTGCAGCCCATCTGCTGCAGGTCAAGGGTTTGCACAGGCTTCATCGGCTGGGCGGACACGATGGCTGGGTCCAGAGCCTGGCCGTCAAACTCCAACATGGAGTCCTAGGAAAACCAAACAAGAGTAAACACATTGCCGGGTCATGGATCAGATGTAGGGGCAGTGCAGTAATGGAGTAACTCAAAGAGCTGGGGTCAATCTCCTGTGTCAGCAAGCATTTGCCCCACTCAAGGCTTTGAGCAGCTGAGAACATAAGGCTGGTTGAGTCAGTATCATCTTCTTAATCTTTTCCTGCAATATGCTTTTAAGTTATTGGAATTTGTTTTAGCTTATTATATTTTTAACATGGATCTGTTACCTTCTTTTTTCCTTTTATTATTGTTGTCGGTTTTTCAGTTTGGTGCGTGACAGTTTAATTTGCGTTTCTGAAAAGCGCCCCACAAAATAAGTCTCTTACAACATGACACTGGGTCCGCACTTTCTGTAACTGACTGCTTGAGAGGGACCTCTATGTGAAAGGAGACAAAGATTTCACTGCATGAATCAATGAGATATCTCAATGTATGAGCAACACATTGAGTGTCCATCTCTGAGCAGTAACAGCGGGTCACCACAGCACATGCTGGACCTTTTTACCTGCATGAAGTTGTACGTCCCTTGCATTTGGGCCATGAGGTCTTGCACAACCTGCTTCCTGACCACGGGGTCGGCGTCAGGTGGGGGGGTGCCATGGTTCACAGTAACGGTTGGCTCTGTAGCCAGCGGGGCAGGGGGCTGGTGCTGGAGGGAATTCACCATCTATTCAACACACAGACACGTGACAGGCACATTGAAGTGTTGACAAATATGCGTAGTGGCATTAAGAAGTCGGATGCAGTAGTGCAGTATTACCTGAGCCTCCACTGCCCACTCCTCCACTTGGTCTTTGTCTGTACTACTGTACAAAGTATCTGGAATGAACTGTCTGTTTACGAACTATAACACAAGAAAATGTAAAAGAAAAAGAAAATAAGTAAGACAGTGTAATACAACGAAGAAAAGAAACAACGTGTTTGACTGTCTTCAAACAATAAAATGGTTAGTAGATTAACACACAAATTGATTACTTGATTTAATAAACAGATTGAGAATCCTACAAAAGCATCACTGAGCTAAAAGTATAAAATAGCAACTAATCGACTAGAGAATTCTTAGTTGACAAAGACCAAAACGTCCATTAATAGGCGGGAAGTCCTTAACATCTTTCAACTGCAAAATTGGAATTTGTGGAATTATCTATGCAATACTCAGACATCTCACCTCTGTGGTTTCCACTGGAATTGGCTCTGTGTATTTTTCCGTAACTGTTCCTTCTGGAGAGAAAAAGCAAGTGTGAAGACTGTTTTATTTAAATCGGTAAAACAAAAATATGTAACACCCGCGTATATGCAAATGTGTTGTTAGCTACCAGGTTCTGATGGCTGCTTCCCAGCCATAGACTCGGCCACCACAGTCTGCTCGTCTTGCTCCTCTTCCTCCACGCACGTCCCATTCTGATGAGTCTGTGCTCTGTTGAAGTAACCACTCAGCAGCACTTTGTCCAGAATGTCCTTCAGTGACTTGTCTGGAACAAAGAGAGCGAGACAAGTTAAAACAAAACATAACGCGATACATATACGTGAATTACCTAATGAATTTGAGGACTGTGTTAAGATTCAAAAGGCAGTGAAGAAGACTGCTAGACGGGTCGAGAATCACGAGAAAGACCAAGAGCCATGAATACTTACATGTGGTCCCTGCCACAGCTTTGTCTCGGCCCTCAACTAGTTCCAACAAGTGTACTGAGGCCTCTTCATATTGGCCAGTCAACCTACAGGTTACACAACAGAGTAAATATACAATCTGGTAGTATGCTATT